CGGGTGCGGTTCGGTTTGCGGTTTAGTTTTTTTTTTTTTTTTTTTTATTTAACTTAAGCAAATTTGACATTTTTTGTTACTTTCTAAACACTTTTTTTTTATTTAGAAGAGTTATAAATTAAATTACAAGATATACAATTCATGATCATAATAAATAGTCCACATGTTAGATAAGATGATATGGAACCATGCTTGAGGATAGTAATTAATCTTCCTCCTTAGCTTGCATAAACAAACCCTTAAAAGTCAAACTAGTAGCACTAATTTTAATAGTGGATTAATCTTCACTGTTTAGTTTTTAATATGCAATAATGTGATAATAGAATGACAATTCAAAATATCATATTTAACTGTGTCTACTAAACTAATGGAATATAATGATTTTTTTTTTATATATATAAATAAAAGTCAAACTAGTAACACTAATTTAAATATCATTAGATCATGATAATGTATATAAGTGCCCATATAATAAATTTTACTTTCATCCAAAATGTAAAAATAAAAATAATAACTAGTTATCTCCATCCATCCAAAATGCAAAAAATAATAATAATAACTAGTTATTTTTTTTTAAAAAAAAGAAAAAAAAAGATGCGGGTTGCGGGCGGGTCAGGTTCGACCCGAACTCGATCTTTTGCGAATTTCTTGACCCGCACCCGCCCGTCTATTTACATCGAAACCGCCCAAAGCACTGCGGGTAGGGTAGGGTCGGGTGGTTTGTGCGGGCGGGTGGGTTTGTTGCCCAGCCCTAGCAGGTAGCTCGGTCACGTTTTCAACCAAGTCTTCTACCGGTGGCTTCACCCGAGCTGACTGAACGACAGGATCAGTTTCGACGACCGAGGCATTGTCGGGTGCTGGGGACTCTTCTTCTTCATCAGCTTGTAGAAATTTTTGTTAAATGGCGGTTGCATACTCCGCCATATAGCTCGGTATGAAGTGCGGTGGAGGGTTCAGGAAAACCTCGGTCTCTGGGCCGTGACCGAGCTGTGCCACCGCCACTTTCTACTTACACTTGAAAAAAATATCCTTGGCAGCTTCGCACTGCAGGATGTAGGTGGCCTCGCCCTCCTTATTACCGCGGTCTTCCGCGTCTTCCACCTTCTTCTCCAACTCCTTTATCTTGGTGTTCTTATTTCCCTCGAGCTTGGCCAGCTTACGCAAATATTTATCTTTTATCACGGCCGCAGCCTTCTGCTTGTCTGCCTCAGCCGAACTAACAAGACCGGTCAGGCGGGCCATTTCGGTTTGTAGCTCGGCCATTTTATTCTTGGCCTCCTTTAGCTCGGTTGATTTGGCATTGACCTCTGCCATGGCCTCCCTTGTGGTTTTTCGAAGCTCTAACACGCGCTTGTGAACAACGTGGTTCTTCTGTAGGGCCTGCAAACAGAGGAACAATTTTTTAGCTGAACCGAGCTAATAAATGAAAAAGGAGAAACAAGAAAAATGAAAAAACTTACCAGCACCATTGATTTTGTTGCCGAGCGAATGACCTTTAGCTCGCCGAGGTGATCGTGGTGCTCCATATCGGTTGGAAGGCAGACGCTCTTGGCATGATTATAGGCTAACAAATGGTCTTTTTCTGCGACCACTGAGTCGGAGTCAGTGATAGCACGGTTCTTATAGGTGGTCTTTGGCACCCATTTAGAGGAGGTAGCTCGGTCAGAGCGCTCCGATTGTGGGCTCGGCAGTGTGGTCTCGGGAAGGATGGTCTCATCCTCGTCGACAAGGCGTGGCTCGGTTGTGGAAATATGAGCATGCTTGTTTGGCCGAGATGATGACGGCTGAGAGGTGGGAAGCGCTACCACGACCTTGTTTGTCTGGCTGGCCTGTGGTACCTCAGCTTGGTTTATCTCGGTGTTAAGAGGTCTTACCGCTCTTTTCTTGGCCATCTCTTGTTCTGCAGTCAATGGGATAAGATTGATTTGTGGGAGGGTTGGATCAGGTTCTGGAGAGGGCTCTAAGAGGAAGTTTGTCACCTTGGTCTTCCTTCTGCTGCTGTATCTGTAGGTCAGCTCAAAGTTGAGTAGCTTGGCCCAACTTCGATCAGGATGTCTTAGTGCAGTGCGGAGTGCGCCAAGGTTGGGGTAACTGTACTATGACTTTAGAAAGTTTAAATCTGCATAAAGGAAAAAGACAACAATTAGTACGGTTGAATGTAAGGACAATGAAGTAAAGAAAGCACAAAGTTAAGCCGAGTTAATTATATCGGCTACTCCTTTGTTCTAGTTAATCCGGTTTCCTGGTATTTGGGCTTCGTGATCCTCGAAGTTACCAGAGACTCAGAAGAAGTCGTCATCGTTTACATCTTTGTCTGGGGTGTTTTTTATTATCTTTTCTCGGCGTCTTCTTATTCTTAAATAACATACCTAGCCATTTTCGTTCTGGCCAAGTGAATACTGGTGAAATAGCTCGGCTAAACCGAGATTAATGTCAAGTCGGCGGTTTAGCTCGGCGGTACCGTTTATTATCCTATATGAATTGGTGCTAAGCTGGGTAGGGCAAAGATTGGTTTGTTTGAGGAATTCACAAAAGAGAGGCTGTACGGGGAATCGAAGTGCGGTTTCTACAATGGAAAGAAGGGTAAAGGGAACGAAGCCAGGATTGCCCCAGGGAGTACTGTCTAGTTCGGCTAAGCTGAGGTGGACATCATCAGGGATATGGTAGTCCCTTCGGAACTCGGCCATAGCCCCTGGAGAGTTCACTAAAAACCTATACTTCCCCATGTGGCCTTAAATTAATTGAAGTGTTAGCTCGGTGTTGAGATGACCTTCGATATCTCGGTTGAAGCGAGAAAAGGAGTGCCTGGCCAATCTAAGTCTGCGAAGTGAAAAAGAAAGGTGTTAAGCACAGATCGTTGGACCGTGCTACAAGAAACAAGGGCGAAATAAATGGAGTCCTAACCGGGCTATAAGAGATGCTGTCCGTCCTTAGCTCGGTTGGAGCAAAGGACGTTAGCTCGGTTCAGTGGAATGAGAAATTCGTAGCCTGGTTGCAGCTTATGGTGCATCATTCTTAGTTCGATTTAGACTAAGTCAGGGAGCTTGTCTAGTCCCAAGTTATAGCTCGATTTTTGGTTAAGGTTTTCTAGTTCGGTAGTGTGCACGCCCAGTATAGTTCTTTAGTATGGCGTTTTAGTTCGGTCCTTTGAAGGGTTATCTAGTTCGCCATGAAGTTTTGGTTCGGTTGTTGGGAAAGATATCCAGTGTGGCTGGGTGCACACCTAGAAGATTCCCTAGTTCGGTGGAACCTAAGCCTTAAGTTACACAAACATGTTCCTAGCTCGGTTGAAATTCTATTTTGGATCAAACGCGTTGTTCTTTAGATTATTCATGAATATAGTGGTTCTAGTACGTGGTTTTTTCTAGAAGAATGGAAACCAAAGTAGTGTGTTTTGAAAAAACATACAGATATAATGCTGCATGCTACCAAAAAGTAAAACAAGGGGCAAAGATTCAGTTACTACTAAGAAGTGGAAGATCCGAGATTGGAACAGCAGAGGAGTTGGCTAAGGATGCAAAGCTTCGCAGACACAGTGATGAGGAAGAAAGAAAGCTCAGAAAGTAGAGGGTGAAGAAGATAAATAGTGATGAGTTGGTTTGAAAAATAGGGTTTTGTTTTGAATAAAGACATATGAAATTGGTGGGACTGTTCAAATTACGCGAAGTACGAAGACGACGTGGCAGCTGTATTTGACAAATAAAGTCTTGCCACGTGTCCATAGAATAGAAAACGATTCAGTTACAGTGACTGAAATGACGTTTTGACCGGATGGATTGATAGCCCGGAGTGAATTTAGCTCGGTTGAAAGCTTAAAGTTTTTAGCTCGGCTAGTAACGGGTAATCCCAATCATGCTGCGCAGATGGAATTAAGGGGCAATTGAGAGGGTAATTTACAAGTAAATTGGGCCGAGCTAGGTAATAGACCGTTCTCTAGGCCGCAGTAAGAAAGGACTGAGTAAAAGGGCTTTGTAGTTAGCTCGGTCTAAAAAGAGCCTTGAAGTTAGCTCGGTCACCATGGTCAGAGTGGTAGCAATTAGCTTGGTCATACCATTCTGGGCGGAAATGTTTTGAGCTTCCCTCAGGACCTTGCTCTAGATTAGCTCGGCCCAAACTTGCTATGGTTAGCTCGGTCTCAACAGGTGAAACCGAGGTACAAGCTATGAAGGAAAGAACCGAGTTAGTTAGAGCTCGGTCACATTTGCCAGTTTAGCATGGTTATGTTAGCTCGGTCGTTTTGTCATACTACCGAGATAAAGCCATCTCACTTGGTTTAAGCAGTGAGGGGGGTGTTAAGAGATAAGCATTATCTTTTAAGAGTGTGACTCCTAAGAGGACTCTGCATGGAAGAATAAGAGTCCTACTAAGATTGTGCCACGTGGAACCTATAAAAACTCATAACATCACCTATGGAGAGGTAACACAACTTTGATTCATGAATTCATAGAGCTTTTGTGTCTATTGTCTATTGCGCTGACTTAGGCATCGAAGGGGTTTCCGACACACACCCGTCGATTAGCTTACGTTTGTGTTCTCAGGTGGCAAAGCGACGACGTTTCGAGGAGCGCAAACTTGATCAACAGGATCATACGAAAAGAATTATTTCGTATTCGTACAATAATTATAATCTACAAAATTGAACCGAACGAGTAATTGACAGTTCAAATTTGATTTAAAAATTTTAACAAATTCCAAAAATATCTTAAGCTTAACTTATTTATTTAGACAATTAAATTCAAATAAATTTTTAATTAGTTAAGTACGAGTTAAAATTCAACTATTTAATTTGTTTAACACCCTTGAGCATACATCATGTCCGACCATGAGACAGGGCAAACAAAAGTGCAATGAGTGTACAAATTTTAACAAAATTTCGCCCATATATATTTTGAGTCCAGATCCTTTGCCATAGTTGCCGGCCGTGATCTCTGCCGAGGTGTCAAAACGACGTCGTTTTGGCGTTAAATTCAAAAAAAAAATTTCTTTCTCTTTTTGGCCTTTTCTCCCTCAATCGTTGAGGCAGCCCTAACCCTCAAGAGAGAGGCGAACTCGAACGGTTCCTCCGACGCAGAGGAGGGTGGGCAACGGCGACTCCGGAGGCGACAGCAGCTGCAGCTAGGCGAGGTGAGGCGGCTGTGAGGTATCCTCTTCCATCTTCATTCTTATGTGGTCTCTTCCATCTTCATTCTTATGTGGTGTTTAAATATGTATGTATACTTATGATTTCTTGATTTGAATTTCTTGTTGATTTCTTAAATGGGTTTTGTTTAGTGGTTTGATTTCGAGGGTGTTATGTGCTTGATTTCTAAGGTTTGATTTCTTCTTGATTTCGTAAATGGGTTTGATTTCTAGAGGGTTTTTTCCCCCTCTTTTCCCTTCTCTCTCATCAGTTTCAAAGCCCTAATTTTGCTACTTTCTAAAAGTTGACTAGTTTTCTAGAGATTCGAATCCCTAATCTTGTTTAAGTGGTTTGATTTCTAGAGATTTCTAGAGGCGACAGGCATTCTCGTCCCTACTTTTTTGCTACTTTCTAAAAGTTGACTAGATTTTACAGGAATGCAATCCTATGCACAGGTATAGGAGAAAAAAGATATTCAAATTGTCCATGGTTTTAAGAGTTAATATTGGCCTTGCTAATTCCATTGGCGATAACAATACAAATTTGGATGATACCAACATATGAAAATAACACATTGTGATACGTCTCGGAAAAAAAAAAAAAAAAAAAAAAAAAAAAAAAAAAAAAAAAAAAGAAAAAGAAAAAGAAGCAGCACATTTTGATATTAGTCAGTCTGCCAGAACAATGGCTGGGCAAGATATGAAGTTATTGTCATATTATGTAATCATTCCTCTAAATTTGATATATGTTTGTATGGATATTTGCCTACAAACAGAAGCAAAGACGTAGAGTGCAGAAAGTGAATTGATTTCAGGGTAGCAGTTCCATTTTAAGTTAATTCTTGAAACAGTGGAGAGTTTTCTAGAGGTTTGGACTGCTTCTGGAACTCTGGTTTGGGGAGAATTACCGGATGGTTTTGTTGGCACGCATTCTAAATTCCTACACCACTTGACAAGCTTTAATTTTCCATGCTGGTGAATTGAAATACTTGTGTTGAGAACTTGAAACATGAATTTCAATTTATTTCTCTTCCATGAACACTTCACACGGGGAGGAAGGTTTAAAACAAAAGAGGACATTTTTGTTACTGAGGTCCCTTTCTCTCCCTTTGATCTTCATTATAATTTTTGTTACTGATATATGCTCTCCCTTTGGTCTTCATTTTCTGGGCTAACAAACATTTTCTGGACAAAGAAACATTTTCCTATAATAAATGTTTGAGTTGGTCTTCCTATAACAAAAACAACCATTACAGTTAGTCCAGAAATGTTTGGTTTGTTATCGATTTTCTGTTGGTTACAACTCAACTCAAGCACTCATATAATTTCTCTCCCTTTGGTCTTCATTGTGATCTATAATTTTATTCTCTCCCTTTGGTTTTCATTATTCTGTTTGTTTTGGTGTTTGTGGTTTCACTTTCTGGACTAACCGTAATCGGGTCAATGACTTCAATTACAAATTTAGAATAAAATTATAGATCACAATGAAATATCACAATATGAGCTTTTCCAAAAGCTAGTCTGATTTGATTTCTCCTTTTCTATCCATTTTATCATAGATTATAATTCTACTTTACAAAGAATGGAATGATTTGTTGAGTTTGCTGATCCCAGAGCTTGAAAATCATAATTTTCACTATAGTTAATTTAGCAATATTAGTCAAATGGCTGAAGAACAGTAAATCAACTATGGTAGATGGAATCTTCTTTTAGCATTAGCTTCTTGAATAACCTATTGGAATTGCACACTCTTTCACTATGTTTGGTAAGAATGAAAAATGAAGGATTGAAGAGGGCAGAGGGATAGAAGGAAAATCCCTTGTGTGATAAGAGGAATAAGGGGATGAAAATGAAGATGGAGGGAAGACCAGTCTCTTCAGACCCATCAATTATAATTTTTTGAAGTGGGTGGTTATGATGTGGGGAAAAGGCTTCATCTCTTTTAAAAAATTTGATATTACTTTCCCATCATTCAATCCTTGTGTTACTTCTTCAATAATTAGGGTAAAATTATAAAACAATATACTACTTATTGTCTTATTCCCTATTTCCCTGCCTTCCTCCTTCCCTTTTTAAACACTTTGGAAGGATCCCACAATCAATTCTTTAGGTTCTCCTTTTACTAAACATAGCATTAGTTCTAAAATTCATATCCTCTCTATTGAAAATTATCCCTATTTGTTATTTAGAGGCATGACGTGAACCTTAAGTTACTTATTTTAGTTTTCCTCATGTTTAGTGAATATGAAAATAAGTGGTTCTAAAGTTTTATGATAGAAATAGTGGTCCCCTTATACACAAATTTTAAAATTCCTATACAACAAGAAACTCATAAGTTGCATATGAAACTGATAAGTTGATTCAACAAAAATTTTATTGATAACTTGAACGGAGATAAAGCAAGAATGCATTGAAGGATTCACTAAGTTGACTAGTTCTCATTCTAGCTGCCCAAGAAATCATAATATATGGTTATCCCCATTTCTCCTTCACACCAAAAGTCTATTCCAACTAATGATTGTTCTGTACATCATACTTATCAAGCATTTGGTCCTATTGTATTCTAAATTCTTCTTCGTCATCAATGCCATGCATAAATTTTGAAAACACACCCTTCACCCCTACATCTTCGAAAAGAGAACTTACATGTTTGACAGCATTTTGCATCAAATGCCATGTGCAAAGTCGGTGGTTTATATCAGGCATGACAGTTGGAATGAACTTAGCCATCGCAGCATCTTCATCTGTGAAAATAGTTTTCGGAGCTTTGTTTGACATTGCCTTTGGAAAAATATGAAACAACCATGTAAATGATTCGGTAGTCTCATCATACATCAACACTGCACCGAATATAACTGTTTCTCGATGATAATTAAATCCAATAAATATTCCAAAAGGTCTATGTTTGTTAATTAATTTATAAGTAATGTCAAAGGCCACTACGTTTGCCAAATTGACCATAGTCTATTATCATTTGAGTATCAGCCCAAAATATATTACTTATCTGCTCTTCACAATATAATTGGACTGCATAATAAAAGGATCGATTTTTCACAGTTTTCTTACGAAAGTATTGCAACACACTACCTGCTTCTCCATATTTCAAATCTTTTTGCCTCTTCGATCTCAAGTAATTTTTTTGGTCCAATTTCGTGAAGTCAAGTGATGCTCTTCCACCAGATTCCCTACCAAATAGCTCATAACTTGAGAGGAATTTCAAATTCTGAAGCCAAGTCTACTTTAATTGCTTGGGTGGTAGATATTTTTCTTTGGGATGGCAACATATGAATGCACTCTTGAGGCACAAGGTCATGATTATGATGTTCAACAAAATTATAAGCAACATATTTTCTTAAATTTCTATCTAACTTGATACTAAATCGAGCACCACAATCACATCTCACCTCTTGTCTCGAAAATTTTACTAGCGGATCTTGCTTGTTAACGTCTCGCAATGTACAAAAGTCCGTGAAGTTATTTTCTTAGTCTGTTTGTTCTTGTGTGCATACGTCTTCCTAATACGAAAGCCCACCTTTTCGCCATAAGTATTGTAAAAGTCATACACAGCTTGTTCAAAGTCAAATGATATGCCCAATTTCGGCTTCCAACTACAATTGGCCAACTCATCAACAACATTATTTTCTTCCATTACTTGCAATTCAATTTATAAGTGCAATGAGGAAGAATATGTCACTATGACAACGTCATGGTATTTATACCGAATAAATATAACAAGGTCAGTTTATTTGATATCCAATCCCAACCATGGACAACAGTGGTCATTAAGGACTTTGCTATCTATACTGTGGGGTCTTTTGGGAAGTTGCCAAAAAAGCCAGCTTTTTGGCTTTTCAGTTTTTTTAGTAAAAAAAGTCGGCTTTTTTACCCAAAACAACTCAGTTTTTTGCCAGAAAGCCATTAAAAAAGCCAGAAAGCCATTAAAAAAGCTAAAAAGTCAAAAAGTTAGCTTTTTACCAATTTTCCAAAACAACACAATGTTTATATTTTGTGAGTTTGTCCTAGAAAATTCGAGCCACATGACGTAGTAGTACAGTGTATATGCCGGAAGGTTCTAAATACTTTAGACATGTCCCAGTTCCCAGGCCCAGGGGGTTCCCAAGTTCAAGCACCAAAATCATAAACACAGTACATGGACCATTGGAATTTCAACCAATGAAGTAATAAAGTTAGCTTGTAACAATTAGAAACCAAGAGCCCCTCCTCAATCTTCAAAAAAAATGTAATTGCTACAGTTTACCCAATAATCCAATTGGCTCATTTTCTAACAGAACGTTTATATTTTCTAACAGCACATTTGTCTCAGTTTACCCAATAATCATATGTATACACAAAAAATCATATATATCAAGAAATCATATATATCATATATAATAGAAAAATCTTTTGGAGGGGGCTCTGGAAATCTTCTAACAGAAAAATCATATATAACAGCAAGAAATCTTCTGGACTAATTGTAACAGCAAGAAATCATATATATCATCTGTCACAATAAAAAATACCCATTTCATCAAAAATCAACAGCAGAATTGTATATAAAAAATCATATATACGTATATATGTATATAACAGCAAGAAATGACAATGATGATGAAATGGACCTCGTCATGGCTGCAATTGCCGCTGTCGCGTTGCCGCCGGACTCAGCGTCTCCCGCCATCCTCTGTCCTTCGCCGTCACGTCCCTCCACCATCCTTTGTCCTTTGCCGTCGCGTCCCTCTGCCATCTCTCTCAGTTCGTTGCTTTCCGTTGTGTTTGCCTCTTTATCTATGTCAGTTCGTCTGTCCACCGCTCTCTCTCTTTGTCTTGCGTCTCTCTTCTCTTCGCTTAGGGCTAAACACAGATGATACAGAAAGAGATGAAAGTGAAACAGAAGGGGGGAAACTCAAATTTTGGAGGGAAAAAAAAAAAAAAAAACACTAAGCAAAATGGCGTCGTTTTTGCCAAAACGAAACGACGTCGTTTTGGCGAAGGCCGCAGGAAAGCAGATGATCTGGACTCATATTTTCAATGGTAAGGTTCATTAGTTTTCCAAACCGGTGTGATAAAGAAAGCCCAGCCCAGCCCAGTCCAGTCCAACAATCTAAAACTAAACTAAAGGGCCTACAAAAAATTAGGGATCAAATTAAAATTATAAAATATATTTGGGTCAAGATTGCAAAAAAAAAATGATCACTCGCAGTGGTATTCAACCCAGTTCAGCAGTTTCCACTTGAGCACATTCTCTGTAATTGCTCTGAGAATTCTCTCTTGCTTGCTTAGATTAGATAATATGTTGAATTGTTAGTGAATCTGTGTTGGATTGTAAACTCGATTTTGCTAAACTATAGACCAATAAGACCAAACTTTTATCTTTTTGAGTTCTTATATTGATTTCTTCATGCCTTAGATCTCAATTTTAGTATACATAAAAAATTAAAATTGCAAGTACTTGCCATTTTACCCATAACTTTGTTTTTTTTTTTTTTTTTTTTTTTTTTTTTTTGGGTGTGATAATGTATAAAGAGCCTCTCAGGGCTAGATTTGAATCTTGCGTCTATCTTTCTCTGTGTGAAATATAATATTAATCTGGATCAACACAAAATGTTAAAAGTACCATAAAATCTTTAAATAGTCAACATATATAAATGTAGCAACTAATGTTCTATCTATTATTAAAGTTAGTCATTTAGAGTTGTGTTTAATACTCTTTTATAACATGAAACGGATTCATAATAGAAGAACTATCATAACATTGAGCATATACGCTAAACAATGTTGTATTTGGCAATATCAATTATTTGCCATGGTGTACTAATTGTCTAACAGTGAACAATTTAAGTTAACAATCCTCTTCCTTATTCCAGAACTAGAGACGTGTTTTACCCTGCTCAAGATTGTAGCAATTAATTTAAAATCTTAAACATGCATGCTTATATACGGATAAAGCTATCAAAGAAAAGCAAAGTTAAAATTTCGTTGCTTCTATACATGTATCACAAATTCATAATACAATAAAACAGGGAGGAAGTTAGGATTATAATTCATCACATTTCAGTAATTCCTAAAGAAAACAAACTTCATCCCACTGTTAATGTTTTTAGGACTGGATTCCCAACTCTGCTGGTGAAATGCTTTCTTATTATTGTTTTGTATTTCATCAAATATTTGGTTTGGCAAAATTGAAACTGGTACATGCTCTCTTGAAAGACTGTTTTCAGTTGTCCATGTTATTGTTGTTGTCATTGTTCATCTACTAGTTGTTCTTGTTAGGCTGGAGGGAGCGAGTGTTAGGTTGAATTGATGACGCCATTTCCTTGTGCGAAATGTGGTTGTCTGGAAACTTCATCAAGCGTTTACTCAAGGACATCCATTACTTGGTGCTCATCTAGGAAGCAGTGTTTGGTCCTCCTAAGTTGTCCCAAATGTTGAAGTATTTGGCATGAGCTATGATAGAGAAGATGATCATGTTCCTAAACACCTAGAAGGGTAAAGGTAAATCAGTGGAATTTGATATAGTTTTTAATAGCCTGCTGGGCTTGATGGGGTTTAATTATCAAAGTTGGCAGAAGTTTGTTCTTTGAGGTTTATGGCCCTACAAAGAGACATCTTATTTGTTTACAGTGCAGTTCTTCTGTCATGTTTAGAAATCTTAGATGGGGATTATTTGGTTACCCAATTTTTACTTTGTGGCAGCCTAGGCTTAGCTATAGGATGATCAAAGGAAATAAATGAGGACTTCCTCATCTCATTTCTCTCTGTTTTTTCGAGAGAGTTGTTTTATCCTTCAGTTTCAAATTCATGCCGCATGAATCCAAACTTCTTGCCTTTGTTTTGACATTTGTTAACGTGCCTGAAATTCTCTGTGATTGACATACTTCTTTGGTATCAACACAACACAATGTTGTATCAGGCCTTAGTATTTTATGTTGCTATGTTACATGGACTCAAGTACTTAGCTACGAGTATGCGTCTTTGTGTTGGATTTATCTAATTTTCATGTCCAAGGATGTCAAAATAGCATGTCAAAATGTGGCTAGACTTACTATTTCTTAAATACTGACTTTATTTTTCCAGGGTAAATAATGTTTACAAACTAAAATATAGCATTTTATGCAAAAAATAAGTCTAGTGCATAGTTACATTGTTTGCATGTCCAATTAAACATGTCGGATGCATATTTCATACGCTTATGCAAGTGTCAAGTGTCAAGTGTCCAACTTTGTACTTTAAAAATTTTGTTGACTCCAGGTAACATAGGTTGCTGTGTGCCATTAAGTCGCATACTGTCACCTGCTTTACTTGTGTCGTAGGTAAAATAACTTCTCTTGCTCAATGAGTCGTAGAACAGTTTCAACTTTCAATATATACGTCTCATGTAATATCTTGGCAGTTAATGGCTGGAAAGGCAGTAAAATCTGTAGCAAATGCAGTTGGGGAGTACCAATATCCATGGCGAGAGAAGTTGGTGAAGTACAAGGATGAGCTCTCTAAGGGTGTTTGGGGTTATTGGGAGCTTGGGGCATGGAAGTCGCTTGGCATTAGCGCCCGCCACCGAGCTCGTCTCCGCAAAGAAGTTCTTCTTGCTGGTGAAGATTGGCCCTATGACCCGGCAAGGAAAGAGATGAGGACTAAGAGGAAAGGGCATAAATGTGATAGGATATCAGCGGAAAAGCGGGCCAATACTGCTGAATTAATGCAGAAAATGCCTCAAATGTTGGCAGATTACAGGAAGAGAAGGTGGCAGAAGAAGATGAATGAAGAGGAGGCCAAGGCTGAAGATTAAGCTTCCATTCTACTGTTTCTTTCATTACTCTTTTCTCTGTGGAGAACTATGTTTTAGTAATATGCTGCACACTTTACTGATGTTGGATTGTGTATCCCCCTTTCTATTTTTGACTTAATTTTTCTTTTTGGTGAATAATTAGTTGGTACAAAAAGGATTAGTGAAGCTTTTGTGCTTTTTTGGTGGACCGCAATCAAAATTTTGATTGACATTGTGCTTTATTATTTATTTTCAGTTTCTCCATTTAGTATGCCTAGGGAATCGTTCCAATAAACTAAAATGATCAAATAGAGTATAACAGGTTAAAGAATATCATCATGTAGTAAAATGGTGATTTGAGATATAAGCGTTTTCTTTCTGTTATAGCCGGCTTGTAGGGAGTATGGAGCCATTGTTGCTTTCGAGTATAGCTGGAGTGTTAAGCATAGACTTACGCGCAGATCGCACTGTGTGCTACCCCAAGCTTATATGCTCATGAGCCCTCCTAATATGAATGAAGTTCAAAAGCTAGTTTATATATGCTTATGAGCCCTCCTAATATGAACCAAGTTCAAAAGCTAGTTTTTAGCATGTCGGTGCCGATTACTTATGATGATTCTAGCTCAGTAATTAGAGGTAACCCTCTGTCTTAGATTTTCTAGTCCAAATCCGGCCGCAACTAGCACACAAGCATAGGATGGCTGAAGATATAGAGACATGAAGAATTAGAGTGCGGATCTTGCATCTTCTTCTAGAAATTAGAAAGCATTATTGTCTGTGATGCACTTTGGGCTCATTTAGTATTGTTTTTATTATGTTGAGAGTTTATAATCTTTTAACTTTTAAATAATTAATTTTTTAAAAATTAATTTACCTTCTTTTTGTCTCGTAAGTTAAAAATAAAAATTGTACCAAAATCTTTTGAGACATTTTTTTTTAATTTTTTTTTTAAAAAAATTATTATTAAAAATTTCAATAAATTACCCTAAACATGACCCCCCAAAAAAAAATATGAAAAAAATGGCTTGGATAGCTTACTACACTAGAAAAGAGGAATATGTAAAGATTACATAGGGTTCGTTCCTAACACCACTCTTTGGGTTCTTGCTTCAATTGATGCCTAATTTCTGTATGATGACATGTAGTTGGCGTGCCCTTAGAATCTAATGTCTCTATATCTTCATATGTAAAATTACTCTCACATCCCTCAACTCTCTCTCTCTCTCTCTCTCTCTCTCTCTCTCTCATACACACACATAGTACGAGTGTATGGATCTTATGGAAGCATCATGCATAAAAGCCCCCCTACACATTTGGAATTAAAAAAAAAAAAAAGATTGTTAAAGTATCCAAACAATGGTTTTCATTCATCTAAAATGCAACCACATGGAAAGCACTCATATTTCAGTACCAACCACTGACCAAAAAGAAAATCAGTAACAACCCAATTATAGATATACTGTAGGCTTGATTTAGGGCTAATTATTCCATAATCCCAACCAATGTTTGTTGATTAATTTAGATTTGCTTAAAAGTTGAAAATCAGTGTTGACCAATACAGTTCCATTAATAGCTTCTTTTTAAAACACAGATCACCCATTAATTTACATGCACCGAAATATAAGTTGAACTCTTATGAAATTAAGCTTGTCATCTAAATGACATGAATGATTCTGTTACTAAATCTGTTACCTTTCTTTGCTTATCTTGACAACAAATATATATATGTATATATTCACCACCAAGCACCACCATCACCACCTCCATCACCATACCATATATCTCCTTAGTCTTTAGATGAGCAATACTGCACTTTTAAGTGGATATACAGCAAGTAAGAGCTTGAGGGTTGGGAAGTAAGTGCTCATAGGCCTTCCCAGTAACATATATATATATATACCAGACCAACTCTTCACTTCACCACCATACCAACCTTGCCAATCTTTAACTCTTTTGTCACATAAAATCACTTATCAACTTAAAGTACTCAACACAAACATGAAAGGCATTTCCATTTCTTTCTTCTTCTGCTTCTCCTTCTCTCTCTTCCTTCTGTCACTTCTTGGTGAGGTTAAAGCAGGTGATCAAGCTCAAAACAATGGTGTTTATATAGTATACATGGGGGCTGCCACTTCACAAAATGGTACCGCAAGGGATGATCACACTCAGCTTCTGACCTCTTTGTCAACAAGGTTAATACAAATACATATACGTATCTTTGACTTTTGTGTGTTGTGCAAATATCTGACACTTCATATTTGCACAACACACATGCACAATTATAGACGGTTAGCTATAATCATTTATATTATATTTGTATTATATTGTTATCTCAATATGTAACCGCGTCTTTTTTTTATGTTTCTTTTTGTTGGATTCTTTCTTTATGTATGATTAACATTCCTATTCAGCAATTGCTTAAATATTTAGGAAACCAAATGCATTGGTACACACCTACAAACGTGGTTTCTCAGGGTTTGCTGCCCGGCTGACCAAGGAGGAGGCAGATTCAATGGCAGAGAGACCTGGAGTGATATCAGTATTCTCTGATCCAGTGTTGAAGCTCCACACGACACGTTCATGGGATTTCTTGAAGTATGAGACTGATCCAGAAGTTGAATCGAAGCCTAGTTCGGACTCTGAGTTGTTGTCTCAGGGATCAGACACCATAATTGGAATCTTGGATACAGGTGAGTGAGCTTGATGAACCGACACTAATTTGTTAGAAAAGATGGTGAACAAGTGTATTGATTGCATGGTAATGGTGATTATTTTGCATATGAATGAATGAATGGAATGGAAATGAATTAGGTATTTGGCCGGAGTCAGCAAGTTTCAGTGACAAGGGCATGGGCCCAATTCCGTCAAGGTGGAAGGGGACCTGCATGGAAGGACAAGATTTCAGCTCTTCCCACTGTAACAGGTATGGCTAACCATGTGAGTTCTTATGTTTATGGACAATAATGCTATACAAAAAGTTCATATGGAATATGGAATGATGTGTCTCGTTTATATTCAATCATTGAAAGTCATAAAAACTCATAACACTGAGTCATATACATCAAAGTGGGTCAAGTCACTACTGCTCTTATTGGTTTTAGAGCACGACATGATCCACATCATCGTCCTACGCCAGTGTTCTAAGACTACTGAATATATGTAATTTATTTTAAAGTTTCAAAATTCGCATTAATTGTTTTTTGAATGCCAAATATTGCATCAGAAAATTGATTGGAGCAAGATACTACAATGACCCAGACGACGAAGGATGGACCAATCGGACGCCTAGGGACATGGTTGGTCACGGCTCTCACGTGGCATCAACGGCTGCCGGAGCCCCAGTCCCCGGGGCATCATACTATGGTCTAGCCATGGGGACTGCCAAAGGTGGGTCCCCAGGGTCGAGGATCGCTGTCTACCGTGTGTGTGCACCTGATGGATGTCTTGGGTCTGCTATTTTAGCAGCCTTTGATGATGCAATATCAGATGGTGTTGATGTTATATCCCTATCACTCGGTTCATCACCTGAATTGGCATCCGAATTCTCATCTGATCCGATTGCGATTGGAGCATTCCACGCTGTCGAGAAGGGGATCACCGTGGTCTGCTCCGCAGGGAATTATGGGCCTGAGCCTGGAACCGTTGTGAATGTTGCTCCTTGGATTTTGACTGTTGGTGCCACCAGCATTGACCGTGATTTCGAATCCAATGTTGTGTTGGGTAACAATAAAGTGATTAAGGTACTTGGTTCCTACTTAAAATGGAGTTTATATTTATTTGTTTTTTCTATAACTAAACCCAAGGTTGTTTAAAACATATTTTCCAAATAACTTATTTTCAAACTTCATTACTAATTCATGAAACAAAGTCTTAAATGACATGCCTTTCAAAAATATGTCTTTAAAGGACATGTAGAAAATTCTACTTCATTTTTTAAAAAATTTAAAATACAATATATATATCTAGTCTACTCTGAAGGGTATGAAAGGAATGGGGAGGGGAGTTGCTAAGCGGTGGGAATAGGTGAACCTACAATGAGTGATAGTAGAAAAGGCAAAAGGATAAGGATTTGGTGAGGTTTGAACCCCAACCTCTCCAATGAGAGTATTGCAAAAATGTCATTGGGCTATAAGGCCATTGGAAACAATTATACTTAAATAGTTAGGCATCTTTTGTCCTGAAATTTGGCTCTTTGTTCTCAATGCACTCTCAATCGCACTATATACTAAAAATTTTGAGATATAAAAATTTCGAGACATGATTGTATGATTGAGAGTACATAAAGACAAGATAAGAGTTTTGAGGGGACAAAAGATCTTATGCCACTCTTATGCCACTTGAATGACATATAATCCCTAGTCACAATCAAATTAGATAGTGTCTAAACTACAATGCTGTGGGATCATCTATCACACGTCTCATACTCTTTTAGCCATTGATAAATGATACGACAATAAATATGTGGCATATATATGAAACAAATGGGACAGATAATCTGTACTTGAACCACAATTGCTTGCAATCATCAAAGTTTTGATGGGTGTTTCCTTATGAAACTCTCAGGGTGGAGGCATTCATTTTGGTAACATCCAAAAGACTCCCGTATATCCCTTAATACATAGCCTCGACGCCATGGATGATCAGAGTGACGAAGATGATGGAAGGTATATCAATCAAAACATATAATCAATTTTGTATATGACACACATGTAGTTTAAAAAGAAAACACAACACTCACACACTGTTTTTTGAGGGGTTTTATTTGTTTTTTTTTACAGAAACTGTTACCCAGGCACACTAGATGATTACAAAGTGAAAGGGAGGATCGTGATATGCGAGAACGATGAAGTTGAATACATGATCAAAGAGAAAGTTTATGGAATAAAAAGTCAAGGTGGAATTGGAGTAATTATGATTGATGATGAAGAAAAGATTCTTGCTTCTAGTTATGGATATTTCCCAACCTCTATAGTCTCTTCTGATGATGGTGATCAAATACTCAACTATTATTGGTCCATCAGGTAACCAGTGTTCCAATCCTCAAGAATTTTTATTTATTTATTTATTTTTTTGGGTTAGTTTCACCTTTATATCTTCAATTATTGTTGTTGTTGTTGTTGTTTTTTTTTTTTTTTTTTTTTCCCTATTTCATCTACTTTGTTTTTAGTGTTTCTCATTTGAACTTATGTGGTTTAACCGTTGAACTTAATTTGATGAGCCAAAATGTCTTTGAAGTGAGGTGAGAAAAGGGAGTTTCCAAATGCACCCCAAAAATATTATGAGAAAAGGGAGTTTCCAAATGCACCCCAAAAATATTATTGGATTCATTCTCAAATTTGAGTTTTTTTTTTGTTCTTTGAACACCTCAATTTCTACTCACCCTAGCCACCATATGCCACCTTCGCCATCGCCACCCCTTCCCTCCCTGTTGCCCACCGGCCCCCTTATTTCCCTCCTCAACGGATATCTACAATTGAACCATATGACCTAAAATATAATATTTTAAGAACTAAACAGATTAGAGATGGAAAATAAAAGGGAAATTATAGTTTATTTTAAAATTTTCTTTTAAGTAATCATAACAATGCAGTGCTAACTACTAAACTCTTGCAAATTACCAAAGTAAACCAGTTGCAACAATTCTTACAACGGCATCAGTAACAAAATACAAGCCAGCTCCTGTGGTGCCCTTTTTCTCATCTAGAGGCCCTTCTCTCAGCACAGATTGTCTTCTCAAGGCATGCAAACCATCTTCACTCCCTCTTCTCTCTCTCTCTCTCTCTGTGTTCTGTGTTTGAATCTGAACATGTCGCTGTATTGGCTTCATGTATTTTTGGGTTTTCTTGTAGCCGGACATTGCAGCACCGGGAGTGGCCATTCTAGCAGCATGGCTGAGCAATGACACATCAGAGGCTCTGAAGAACAAAGACCCACCACTCTTCTTTTTGCTCTCGGGAACTTCCATGTCATGTCCTCACGTTGCTGGGATTGCTGCCACTGTAAAATCTCAGTTCCCCACATGGAGTCCCTCTGCAATCAGATCAGCCATAATGACTACTGGTTAGTAGTATGACACAACAAATGTTAGCTTGGTCGCTTCACTTCTAGTGATGACAAAAAATCAGTGAAATAACATTTGTCAGTTTTGATTATTACATTTGCAGCAACTCAAACTAACAACATGAAGGGCCCAATAACAGCAACATCAACAGATTCAGAATCAGTTGCCGCCCCTTATGATTATGGTGCAGGGGAAGTAACTGCAGGAGGGCCATTGCAACCAGGGTTAGTCTACGACGCTGGCATATTCGACTACCTACTGTTTCTCTGTTACTATGGCTACGACACGTCCAAAATAAAAATAATTTCCTCAGCAATTCCAGTAGGATTTATGTGCCCAAACCCAAATAAGAACACTGATTTGATCTCCAACGTGAACTACCCATCAATAGCAATCTCCAATTTCACAAAAAACGAAAAAAAGTTCATTTTCAGAACCGTCACGAATGTTGGTGTTGACGATGAAACAATTTATACAGTTACTGTGGATGTGCCTTCCGGATTGGATGTCCAGGTGGCACCGGGTAAACTACAATTTACCAAGGCGAGTAAGAAGATGGGCTACACAGTGATTTTCACACTTACTGAATCTGTACCGGAGGGAGGTATGTTTGGTTCGATTACTTGGACCAATGGGAAGTACAGAGTTCGGAGTCCCTTTGTTGTAAACAGTTAATAAGTGCTTAGAAATATGGTTAGTAATGTTAGTTTAGATTCAGGACACAATGAATCCAATCATTAACAGGAAATAAAAAGATTTGTATCTTTGAAGGTTTTCAATCCTATGATCGTTAGATTTTAGAAGGAATGAGAGAGGCCAATGATCCTCTGTTCCTAAATCTGCCTATCTTCTGTCCCAATTCATCTACAATGATTGAATCATATGAGAATCTAAAGATACGACCTTAAGACATCCAATTGTAAATGATTTGTGACAAAGTGACAAACAAATTTATGAACAAAAGGATCCCTAGCTGTTGATAGTGTTAATATCTGTAGTTTATTGCTCTCACACAGACTAACAATATTACCCAAAAAGGCTACCTCCACATTTATAGATTATCTAGAAAAAAAAAAATAATAAATTTGAATTTCTTTGGCAGTGGTACTAAAATAATCCTTGGTTGAAATTTACCCTAATGCTTGGAGAACAAAATAATTGATAGAAAATACAATGCAATGTTGGGATTAAACTCAATTATGATGAAGTTCACATTCAAAACAAATTTCAACCTACCATTATTCTTTCTGTGATCTACTATGTACTTTAATTTTGTAATCTTAACATTCTTGATGAATTTAAGGTTAAATGGCATTAGTGGTTCAATTACTAGTAACACCTCCACACATTTTTGGGACAGTTGCCACATTTAAATCTCAGTTCCCTACCTGGAGTCCCTCTGCAATGAAATCTGCCATAATGACAACAGGTTATTAGGGAACAACAAATTGTTTTGTTGGATTGACATTTAGTTTTGATTATTACCAAAACATGGCGACTTTGTGTGTTGATCTGCAGCTACCCAAACCAATAACCTAGGAGTCCCAATAACAACAGATTCAGGATCAGTTGCCACACCTTACGGTTTTGGTGCCGGGGAAGTAACCACAACAGGACCATTGCAACCAGGGTCAAGTTTATGAGATCTACGCAATTGACTACCTACAATTTCTCTGTAACTATGGGTATGATACATCTAGGGTAAAAACCATATCCTCAGTAATTCCAAATGGATTTAAATGCCCTAAGCTACAAAATGCCAATTTAATCTCCAACATGAACTATACCCATCAATAGCCATCTCCAACTTCAACGGAAATGAAAGCAAAAATGTATGTCGGAACTATCACCAACCTCGGTGCTGATGATGAAACAAATTACACAGCAACCGTGGATTTGCCAACCGGATTGAATGTCAAGGTTATACCTGATAAACTACAATTTACAAAGATCAGTAAGAAGCTCAGCTACCAAGTGAGTTTCATATCCACTAGTGCCACAACTTCTCCGAATCAAAATATGTTCGGCTCAATTGCATGGACCAATGACAGGTACAGAGTCCAAACTCCCTTTGTTGTACGCAGTAAATAGATTGCACATCCACAACCTTTTTACTTGGATCTCATCACAAAATCACTTGTACCCCCACACCACATATTTTTATAATTTACCACTTACACTTCACATATTTTTATAATTTTTTTTTTTATCTGTCCCACTATGTTGAAATTCTTCCTTAATACAGAGTACCTGCACCCTAAATAGTATTTTTAAATTACTGTTATGATGTATGTAAAAATTGTAAAAAAAACTCCTGTACTTGGAACATGAACATCTAACCTATGTCACCTGCACCCAAGTACTGGTGTCGGATGCAAACATGTATATGTATCAAGAGATCATACTCATTAAATCATAAATTTTAAAAAAATGATATACAAATCCACTTCTAAACTTATTTTTCAGACCCAATTATGATTATGTGTAAGTAATACGACTGGTTGATGATTAGAAAAAATACAAAAAAAATATTACTTTTAATATTCTAATTGATTATCACATCATAAGGCTTAAAAATTAAGTCTAATTTTTTTTATCTTGAATAACAATGTTTTAAATTTAAAGATACTCAGATCTGCCAAAAAAAGTCATTTTTTTTTAATCAAGTATGTGTAAACAAAAGGTACTCACAGTATCAAAAAAAGCATTTACTTATAACATTTATAGAACAATATATGCACATAAATAATAATGTTGTTAAATATAAATTATATAAGAAATATCTAATGAAAAATACCCAACAAATCTCACGCCCTTATCCGAATGCCGGTATCCAACATATTTGATTTATTTCGAGGAATCCGTATAACATGCCATCTAACTAATGAGATGGCAAAAGCAATTAAGATAGCCCAAAAGCTTACTTGACATGCAATAAGACCAAAAAACATCAACTCATAAGCAAACAAGATTCAACAAGAGAAGAAACACAATCCATGGTTGGAGAAACAAAATATAACATATTAACGTGATTAATCCAAAATATACCATATTACCACCGGTGAGGTAAATTTGTTCCAAGTGCCCTCAGACACTCTACCTTAATAACTACAGGGTTTTGCAAAATGAACTGTGACAAGAAACAACCATCCCCATACACTCCAGCCTAAAAGCCAAAATACCAAAAAACAAGACTGGTCATTTCAGATCGTTCATTCGAAGGCCCATTGGTTCTCCCTGCGGACCTCCTCCTCCTCCTCTGGGGTGAAGTCATTCTGAATGTTAAATGTTTTGCGGATTTCTTCTGGAGTTTTTCCCTTGATCATGTCTGCAACAGTCTGGCAGGTCAGATCCAACAAGCTCTTGATATTCAGATAGTTTGCTGCCTGGGAGACAAAAGGAGAACCAGGTTAGATTAAATTATGGTGAGAATTGTCAAGGGTGATAGGCACACCGCACACTTTGATTGCACCATTTCTCTACAGCTTGCTAAAGATCATTGAATAACTGACTATAATATATAGAGGGATATTCGGAAGAAATTTAAAAAAAAACCAATTGACAAGAAAACCAGGAAGAAACCATTAAAAGTGCAAATTCTGCAAACAAGAAACAGATTTAAACGCAAGAACACATTAAAACCAAAAAATCATATCAAGGTCCACATAATGGAAAGAATGTGCACTGCAACTAAATTCTTACCTGTAACAATTATACATATATATATATATTAAAATGTAACACCGAGTTTTCTAACCCAGTACATAATTCACTGTTAAAAAGTTAGTACAAATTCAAAAGCTAACATATAAGGAAGCTGGGGTACATTCTTGTTTGGCATTGCTAGTTCTAATAAAGGAGTAATAGACTAACTCCAAACCCACCCTGGAAAGGAGCCACTTGCCAAAAGGTGTCAAGCAGGTACCCATCCAATAACAAAGGCTTAATAAATTTTATAGTATTCCATTATCACCAGGCAACACAAACTCCCAACACAAAGTGATCATTACTGGCATTTGGCAGTTGTTAAACAAGGTACTTACAATTCCATCTTCAGGTGGCAATGTTTCAACTAGCACACATGCATTAATAAAACTAATCAAAGTTAGACGATAGAGTCCTTTTAAAAATAAAACAACAAACAGACAAGAAGAAATCTGCCATTCTAAAACCATGAATCTACACCCTAATAAACCATAAATCTACACTCATTATTCATCTATTCTTCCATTGACTTCAAATTTGAAACAAAATACAATTCCAAGAAAAATAGAAACCAGAAAATCATAATCTAAGGCCTGCACAGACTAATCACTATTAATACAAGTTGAGCAACCTATGTGTTAAGGGAAATGTAATTCAGGAATAAGCCTTACAGCATCCTGTCAGAACAAAGATTGGTCACAGCTACCAATTCCACCCCTGGAAAATATAACATGCAAGAAACATACTCTCATGCATTAGTGTATCGGTGCATACTAATATAACCGTTAGGAATATAAATATGATTTCAAACATTCTCCCAGCAACACTAACACACACACACACACACACACACACAAAAAAAAAAAAAAAAACTAAACTAGCTTTCTCTCTCAAAAGAAGTTTGACAGTTGTAGTAGCTAAAAGCAAGATGATTTTTCAAGTCCTAAATAGGTACTGCACCTAAAAGAGATAAGGAGAAACCAGATAACATAAAAAACAACTACACTGCACTGATGCTTTGTTGTCAAGTAGTTCTTTCTAGGTATGGATGTGCATGTGTAGGTGTGTGCGTGAATGAAAATCTGAAACTATAAAGCACAGACACCTCTCCAGAGGCAACATATGGGTGTCCAGCACGTGTCGGGCACGGACACGCGGTGTACACATGTCGGACACTCTACCTAACGTGTTCCCTTTTATTTTTGAATTTTTGCAACCGGTCACTCTTGGACACATTGGAGACAGAGAGAGAAATCCTAACCCATTGAAGCCAGAGAGACTGAGAAAGAGAAAGGGTGAAGAACCTGTTGAAGCCTAGATCAAGGTACGTTCTTCAAATCTATGTGTACGACTCTCTCTCTCTCTCCCTTTGTTCAGTGCTCTCTGTTCATCTTCTTCAAATCTATTCATCTTCTTCGAATCTTCATTTCTTCTGTTCATCTTTCCCTCTCTTTTGCTATGTTTGACTCTCTCTCTCTCTCTCTCTCCTCTTCGTGTTTGACTTTCTCTCTCCCTTTTATATTCCTTATTTCTTTTCTTTTTTTACCTTTTTTGTTTTTGGTAACAAAAATCTTATTTTTTTTTTCCCTCTTTCACTTTTTTTTTCTTTCCATTTTGTTTTGAATATTCTTGTTTGCTAAACATTAACATACATAGAATAAATAATTTTTATTTGTAAAAAAAAATTTAATTTGTGAGTGATATTTGATATTAAAGTAAATAAATAAAAATAATATATATTTTTTACATATAATAAGTAAAAAAATTGTATATATTGAGCATGTGTCCCTAGCGTGTAGTGTCTCCCATTTTCTGACCCATTTTTTTAAAATTTACGTGTCTGCGTGTCTGTGTCATGTCGTGTCTCGTGCCCGTACTTCATAGGTCTGGAATAACATTACTACAAGACCGCACCAAAAGATTATTCACTCCCCCATCTCATTCTGACAGTTCTCTATAACCAATAAAAACATAATGAAACTCCATGTTACTGGTTGTAATCTTTCATCATCCAACAAACATATCATAGGAAAACGACAACAGAATTATCGCCCACAAGGCTACAACCAATTGTCCAAAACTCACCAAAACCAATTAGAAGAAAAAACTATTTCCCTTATCAGATTCAGATATATATGTTTTCAATACAATAAAAATAAAAATAAAATAAAAAAAATTTTAAAAAAAATTATCCAATTCAGTTGCTAAAATATTAATGCAACTCAACCAATTATTCAACTCAAACTATTTTCGAGAATTACCTATTCCATTGTTAGATGCACAACAAAGGAAATAATCCGATTCAGTAGCCAAAATATTAATTATTCAACTCAAAATGATTTTCGAGAATTTCCTCTTCTCCTCAATTTTCTCATCAAACGAGTAATACGCAAGAAACAAACAACATAGAAAACATTAATCTTCTAGCAAATCCACACATCATGTGAAAACCCTAACATAAGAATCATTCTACGCTCCAGAATCAAATCAACGTAAAAGAATAAAATCAATCAAAACATACATAGAAATAGAGGACTCTACTATACCAGAATGAGATCAAACAGAGTGCCCTGGTCGACTTTGACGAATTCGATATCGAAAGTCTTGAGTTCGTCCTCGACGCCGGTGGCGCGATCTTCGGATTTTGGAGTCTCGACGTGCTTCTTGCAGTACTCGATCACCTTCGATAAGATCTTGCTCGTCACGTTCGGCAATGGAATTCCGTTATCGGCGCAATCGTCCTCGATCATGTGCTTAATCGTCTGCGACTCCAGAGCCACCACCTCGTCGACCTCGAAGGTCTCACCGTCCGAGCTCTTCAGGATGATCTTCCTCGTTGACGACATGGCTCTGCTCTGTTGTTTGCAACAGATTGAAAGCAAACCCTAACCCTAACTTTAACTTTTTATAATAAGATATACCTCTCGATGTTTAAGCTAAATTACAATACTTGATAAATTATGTCTGAAGGTTATATTTGTATAATAAATTAAGGGGTAATTTGTTATGAAAATATAAATTTTAGAGGAATAATTTGTTATAAAAAGTTTTAAAAAAATATTTATAATTTAGATAAATCTCGAGGAAAGTATATATAGTTTGTCCTAATAAAAAGAAAAGAAAAAAGGAACTTTATAATAAATATAAAAAAAAACAAAAAAGAGAGAGACAAAAAGCGAATGCTGTAAATGTTCTGGATCCAAAAAGATAATATTAAATAATCCGTTAATAATTGGGTAAAATTTCACTTTCGCTCTTTGGACCTGTCGAAGAGTAGTATCTCTAATAAAATTTTATTAAATTTAAATAAAAATTTAATAAAAATTTGTTTGATACCGTTTACTTTAATATTAAATTATAATTATAATTTTTAACAATTTTTTTACATTTTTGATTGTTTGGAGGGCGTTTGGTAGATATTTTGGAGGTCGAACATGAACAAAAAATTGTCAAAGTTACTCTTTGGTAGATAGATGAGAGGATGTTCGATCTAACAGTAATAATTTAAATTTAATAAAAGATGAAAGGTTTCTTTCATTTGATGAATTTATTTTTTTCTCATTTGATATGAGTTTGATACTAACATTAGAGAATGTACCTAAAAAAAAAAGATACTAACGTTAGAGTAGAAAAAGTGAGTCTGTTTCATTAAATTTAAATTTAATGAAAAGTCTGAGTAAATGTTGGAAACGATCTAATATTATTTTTTATTTTTTTGACTTTTTGTTGATTTTTTTAATTTAAAAATTATATGCTTTAGATTCTACTTGACTAAATTAATTAGAAATTTTTTTTAAAAAAATTAAAACTTAATAAAATTTAAAATTCCTCAATTGCCTCTTAATAGAGACAAAAATTGAAAAGTAAATCAAATGGACACCAAAAATAAATTAAGGAGCAAAGGGAGATAAGGAATGGAATAATGGAGTTGGAACCTATGAGTTTGGTTGACTCTAAAAATTAGATTTTTTTTTTTTTTCCCCATATCATATTTCAAAAATATAAATTACATACTAATGCATTTGGTAGTTTTTAACAAAATAACAAAATATTTTATTAAGTTTATTAATAACACCCTCACTTCAAATGACAATTTACAAAAATATATTTTGCCAACTAATTAATTGGAAAAATTAATTATAATCTTCTGAAATTTTGATAATGGCGGCATGTTTGTCTGTTAGGAATAAGTTGTGTATTTATATGGCTCAAAAAATAAGAACAATATAGAAAAATTGCAAAATACTATTAATTAAGTATAATCTTTTTGAAAGACCATCTAATTTCTACAAGAGAAGAGAATTGGGTAATTTGGATAGAAAAGCAAAAGAAAATCCCCAAGCAAAGCACCCAAAGGGAGAGATTGAGAGGAGTAGTTCCCCCGCCACACACACCCACCTAACATTGATTTGCTATAGTAATGCTAAAATAGCAGAACACAACATAAACACCCCACTCCAGTAATCAACAATGCTATGACCCTGTTTGGTACAGCTTTTTTTTAGTTTATTTTAGCTTTCAACTTAATTTAAACTATTTTGATGTGTTTGGTTTAGCTTAATAATGCAGCTTATAGCTTTTTGTAAGTCAGAAATCAGCTTATTCATTGAGTAGGGCAGGAGAAGCTTAATTTATAAGTCAGAAATCAACTTATATTTATAGTTATAAATCATAAACTGTTAAGGTATAATCTATAAGCACTTTTCCACCGTTCCACCAAACAGGGGCTATGTAGCCTGAAAATTCATGACTCGAATGGCTCGAAACATTTAAAACGACGTCGTTTTGACATATTCGAGCCATTCGGGCCATCCAAATTCAGGCTACCAAGTATTTTTCCTCCAGTAATATAGTATATACTGTACTAAAATAGTACCAAAAAATGTTACATCAATGGAGATGCGCTAAGATCATCTCAGCTTACGCGACTTGGTTCAAGCCCTAATAGCCCACTTCCCCTACCCTATAAAACCGTAATTAGACCTTGCTTCCCATTTTCAGTTCTATCAAGGAGGTCCAACAATTTCTTGGTATTGGAAACTAAATGATTGATTTTAAAAAGTGCTCCTACCTTCACTGAATTTCTATTTGCCTCCAAAACTAAAGATTCATTTTCAACCCAAAAATATGTAGTGCAATAAAATGATTCTACCACTGTCAAATAATTCAAAAACATCATCAAAAACTACAACATTCAATTCAAACTAAACTGATTTTATTGAGAAAAAAGATAATATGATACAACATAATATGACCAGAAAACATGTGGCATGGGAACCACTCTACGACAGATAAATGAAACCCTAGCTGCAGTAACTAGTCAGAAGCATGAAAGGATTTTCATTTTTGAAACAGCAAAACTGCAATCCCTCTATCCTTGGCACATCGGTTAGGACTCCATGCATTGAGACGGTGGAGGGCTAGTCTTGGTTTTCTCTGAACCTGCACGAAAGATTTAGATTTTTTAGATAAATATCTACTCAACTTTTGTGAGCTATGAAGCTGGGTTCAAATAAGTTAAATTAAAGCTTGGTGCTTCATAAAAGCAAAAGCATAATTCGTTGGGATGAGAAAGTACCAGATGCTTCATGAATCTCCACTTCCCGCCATTCTTGGACTAATGCACAGCAGCAACACAACAAATGTGAGAGAAAGTCGTCAAACAAGCCTCCCTGCAAACAAATGAAAAAAAATGTCCAATGATGTATGTAGAGCATAAAACCCGTTCTTGAATCTAGTAAAGAAGTGATGAGTGAAACCCGAATAAGCATCTTGAGATAAAAACATAGGCTACCACAATGAGTACAAGTACAACCATCTAACAAAGAAGACGAGATACCGTGATGTTAAGCATCTTGCGAAGCTTTCTTCTGATGCAGCAAGTGTAGCAACAACAAGATAATATCAACGAATATGCCATCAGTTCATTACAAGTATCTGTGGAAGCTGCAATGATCAAATACAATACATATTCAGTGTTACATTGCAACTAGTAGAGAATAGATCTACTGAATAACGCTGAGAAATTCATGCAAATTAGCAATTGATTTAAAATATTGATGTAGTAGAACTATTTGAAAGGCAGATTTACTCACACATGCGCTTTCCTGTAGCCACAGATGCCACTTTTGAAAATGTTCCACAAGGATAAAAGAAAGTTTTAAAACCTGCAAAGTTAAATTATGCATAAAATTAATATCATTCAGGGTTTACAATATATTGCATGTAAAGAAATTCATCCCGAGCACTTGAAAATAAGACCATCATAACTTATCCAGTGTTTAAATAACTCATTATGCTGATCTTGCATCATCAAACACAAAGGTATTTGCTAAACAAAAATGGCATTTAAATGAGAAGAAGAAGAATGCAACTGCGAGGAATTTGAAGTTGGTAGTATTATGAGGCCTACACAACTATTGAGAACAAAAGGATAATTCCAGGTACAAAAAATTCTAGAATATCATCAGGGAGAGTAATCTAATGAAATAGACGCTAAACATGAGAGGCATTCAAAAGGGAAAAGATAGTGATAGGTACCTCTGCACTGCAGCAAAGTTGTCCTGTTTCATTTGAGGATCAATTCTAGTTTATCGTTTGAGGATCTTATAATTTCATAAGTGAATTAAAAGTGAAATTAAGTGAAGACACTTGGATTTCATCAGTCATATCATATTCTCACCACACTCTGGTTGAGTTTCATCTTATAAGCAGCCTAATACAAATACAATGAAATAAAACTAGATTCTTTGATCATGTTATCCAACAATGGTGATTTGTTTTCCTCAGGAAATAAAATAAATTTTTTTTCAAAACCTAAGCATGTAAAACTGGACTGAATACAGAAGATGTAAGAACATACACAAGTAAGGTTCTGAACAACAGCCAAGTAGATCTGAATGCCATTCTTCATGCTGACGTGATCCTCTAGTAGATAGCAAATCATGTCCTGAGGAAACTGAAGTAATTCTGCACAGAATAAAGAGTCACAAGTCACCTTTATGCTAACAACATACAAGGAATTGGAACCTCAACTAGTCTAACATGTTAAACCTTAGACCATTGTCTTGCAAGAGAAAATTAATAAGGCCAGTTGATGTCAACTGTCACAGTAAATCCCACTAGCTGAACGCAGACCATTTTGAGTTCAGTTGGAAGTAAAAGGAGGGAGGAAATCAAAAGAGATCAGAAAACAAAAACATATAAATTGGTACAGAACCTAATCATGTTAATTGTTTCAGAGGAGTACTCCTCACATTTAATTAGGCAGGAAAATAAAATGAAGACCAACCTAGAAGTGTCCCGGCTATCATTTTTCTTAAAATCACTAGGCAGGAAAATAAAATGAAGACCAACCTAGAAGTGGCCCGGCTATCATTTTTCTTAAAATCACGCTCATTAGAAGAATATCCTTTCTCAATATTGGTCTCTGAGCATTTGGGCTTCGCTGTCTGAGAGCTTCTGAGACTTGAAGTTTTCACTGATGGAGAGCTTGCTACATTTTCTGTGACCTCAATCAAACGTTGAATCACTTCACATTGACCCACATCCATGTTAGCCTGTGATTGTTGTAGCTCTACCTTCAGCTTTTCCTTCTCCTTTTTAAGTGCTTCATCAAAAGGTAAGTCTGGATAAGAGCAAGAAAGATTCTTCTTCAGTACCATTGCGTCATTTCTTGAGGGCTCCCTACTCAAAATTGCAACTTGCACTCTTCTGTCATCATCCTCGAATGTGTATTCACGCTGATCCTTCTGAATATATTCCAGTGTGTTTCCATCACATTTAACCAAAACATATCAACATAGAAAAATGTTTGATATATGCATGTTACATTGTGGACATCATAAAAACAATCACACAACAAAATAGGCAAAAATTCATGAAGTGCAATTTGCTGCAATGGAGGACTAAATTGTGGTGGAGTAAGAAATTAGAAATGCTATGTGATGACAAAACCGGGAAGCACTTTCGTTTGCATAGGAAGGGATGAAATATAATTTCATTAATGTTGGAGAAGTAGTGAATGTATATCATAATAAGACTAACACCTTTTTTCAAGATGTAAAATTGTTCGCAGTGTGTGTTTTCTAGCTCATGACTCTACTTGTACAGAACACCAAATACAATTTGATCCCTCAATAGACCAAACAACATGATTGAATGCCCAATTAAATTCAAGAAAGACGACGAGTAAATAAAGATTGAGAAGTATTACCCTGACTCTGGCATTGTCAAGGAGAGTAATGAGGGGGATAATCTGCAAATAGCGATCAACCTCTTCCTGGGCCCTCCTGAACTGATACACCATGTTCCAACCCATGGCAACTAAATACAAATAACTTCGCTCTTGACAACTATTCACAAGAACGTAGGCTCTCCTCAATGCATCCTCAAGCTGCTCCAGTGGCTCCCTCATTTCCGGGTACTTGTTCATCTCCGGTATCTTGAGCTGCTCTAACAAATTCCCGATCAATTTCAGATGCTGCGCGAACTGCTTGCAGTTCCTTTTCTGCATCCTGGCAGTGCTCGCAGCTTTCACTATCATCCCAATTAATGCCACCGCATTTAGCCCAGTCAACTGCACAACATTGGCTGCTTCTGCAACATGTTCCCAAGTAGAACCCATTTTTGATTTCTCAATTTCTTCAAAGCAAACTAAAAAAGACTTCACATGAACAATCCAATCTCTCTCTTTCTGTCAGGAAATAAAGCAAATGGGTAGTGGGAATCATGAATTTTACAAGTTAACTTTTCATCAATCAAGATTCTCAAAGAAAGGACTAGAATAGAAGAGAGGAATTAAAATACCGACCTGGGCTAGCCTTTATCTGCCATAAATATTAGCCATTGGAATGATATGGAAAAGGCCCAGAAGAAGGAACTACCATAGCAAGTAAAAACTCCAAAGAAAGTGTTGGGAAAGATTGAAGAAATCTGGTGCAAGATTTTATAGACGATACAACCCATAAAGAAATGTGGTGTGGAAGTCCAAAAGAGAACAGTGGTGCATTGAATTCTGAAATTCACGAGTATGGCTTTTCTTTGCGAGAAAGTGCGTTCTGTTCTGTTGCCGCTATTTTTTTATTTTTTATTTTTCAATTAAAGGGAAGAAAAATATAGAAAAAAAATTAGAAATTCTAAATTAAGAACTCCAATAGTTTTAATTAGTATGTGGGTTTATGTTTTGGCCTTTTTTTTTTCTTTTTTTTTTAACTTTCTACATTATTAGTGCTCTTTTAGAATTCCTAAATTAGAAGGATGTATCATTTTTAAAAAATATATATCGAACTGGTGGTGACTTCGTGGACTAGCTTGCTCAAAGGGTAGCAAAAGAATAATTAAATATCTCTAATATAAAATATAAAAAAAAAAGAAAGAAAGAGAGAGATTACTTAAATTTTACAGTCCCAAATAAAATAAAATTAATTTGAGAAAAACAAATATTTATAAAGATATTTTTAAAATTTAAAAAATTATTTTTGTCTCAAAACATTTAAAAACAATAAATAATATTATTTTTTTAAAAAAAATTCAGTACAATAGTTTTAAATTTTAAAAAATAAAAAATAATTATTGGAAAATACAATCTGAAAATCAGTATTGATTGACATAGTCATCCGACGTGTTATGGATGTAGTCGATTAAACCGACGCTTGGACAAAAAGAAAAAAGTAATAATAACACACATCAGATGAAAATTTACTTTACCTTTACATTTGATTATGAATGTGTTTTACACTCAATATTAAACTTTAATAAATTGTTAGACAGTATAGTTAAGTTTAAAATTCGTAAGGATATGTACTTATTTACAAATATACAACTCCGCTACGTAACTCGAAATATCAATGGCTCGAAATTTCAAAACGACGTCATTCTAAGTTTTTTTTTTATTCTCTTATCGATAAGATAATATTTTCAGTACCATTCGGCCCATTCGAACTCTACGCATTCGAGCTCTCACGCATTTTCCTTACTAATAAGAGAAAAAAGTGAAGTTATCACTTCTTAACTAAAATTTTAAAAATAATAGAGAGTGGTAGGTTGTTGCATATTGTCTAATTTACGATTTTTCCAATTTCCTTTTGGGTCTTTTTTAATTTTATGTCAGATTTCGAATTAAGCATATCCATGGCATGCGGCTAGTGAAAGCTGCAATCTAATTTGTTTATGGTGAACACTGAAAAAGTGAGACAAGTGAGCATGGTAGCAACCTGGAACATTAAAAATAAATAAAATTTCTTGATAGTCGGTGGGTGAAACAGAGCAAAAACCAATTAATGTTAGAATGAAAAAAGAATTTTTCAGCCACCACCAGTAAGTTCTAAACATATGGCAAAATGCAAATATATATATATATTTTTCAGCCACGGTGGTATGAGCACTATGTTTGCTATGCTGTAACAAGCATGATCCCAATTCTCAGTTGAAACCACATCCAAATAAAACTAATGGTAATAATTAACAAATATATCACTCGTAAAGTTTAGAACCTTTAGTGGGGCAAATGTGACTTTATTTTGTCTTTTTCTGATACATAATCCTGTCCAGGCAATACAACAAGGAACACCAAATAAATGTGTCTTATTTTGTCTTGTGCATTCACCAGAATAGAAATATAATTCAGTCAATTCACAAATTCTTCAAGGAGTACAACTTCAATTTAAGTATGATATAGTTTAGATATAAATTTCAAGATTAAATTTGAGAATTTTTTTTTTTTTTTTCCTTTGTTTTTTTGATTGGCACTTGAGGTATCCAAATCAAAAAACTAACTAATTCCTAGGAATGCACCGACTCTCAGCAAGAAATTTTTCGTAAATACATCACGGTTAATTTAAGAATTTTTTTCCAATCCAATGACTACCCATTTAAGTATGATATAGTTTTGATATAAATTTCAAGATTAAATTTGAGAATTTTTTTTTTTTTTTTCCCTTTTTTTTTTGATTGGCACTTGAGGTATCCAAATCAAAAAGCTAACTAATTCCTAAGAATGCACAGACTCTCAACAAGAAATTTTTCCTAAATACATCACGATTAATTTAAGAATTTTTTTCCAATCCAATGACTACCCCAAGGAATTGTTAACAATTAATTTAAGAATTTTTTTCCAATCCAATGACTACCCCAAGGAATTGTTAACAATTAAAAGATTTCAATCCTTGAATTTGGAGGAACCCCCAAGATCCAAGGTCTTACCACTAAGCTAAGCCCTTGGGGTTAGATTAAATTTGAGAGATTTGCTAGGATGGATTTAAAATAGCAATGTAAAAGTAGTTTTATTTATTTATTTTATTCATACTAGAAATTACAATTGTACAAAGATCTTAATAAAATGCTTTTTTTTTTCTTACTCTTATGTACCCTTTCAGAGAGCAAAGCAACAGGCTCGTACAAATTTTCTCATTGCTGTATGAATGGATTACGAAAAAATTTCAACAAAAATCAGAAACCTAACTGGTTGGATTCATCATGTTATCTAGTAATGCAGTGATTTTCAATTGTATATTGAACCTAAAAAACTTGATTAAGGCAACACAATCAAAAATATGTTCCTGTGGCTGCTTCCTTGGTAGCGGTGGCATAGTTTAGTGCTGTGCTATTTATATAACCCAACTAGAGGTTCTTCATTTTTCCCTATTCTGTAGTCTTCTAAAAGCCAAATTACAATATTTGTAGGCAAAAAATTCTGCGAGGTACTAACCTGCAGTGACAGGAAAAACCCGTCCAAGAAATGGGCAACGTGATCATTCAACAGAGGGGAAATGTGAAAGGGTGATTACAGGGACCAACTAGACTGAAGCATGAGGGCAGGGAATTTGGTAGCCCCATCCATCACATATACTAGAGCGGGCTGCAAGCTGAATCTCTTACCAAAGTTGAAGTTCAGGAAGGCTTCGACCTGAAAATGGTCCAAACTTCTGGGACCTTGGATTAACCCACCCAAACTCAAACCCCATCCAAAATCATCTTCAGGAGTATCAGACATTGAAACAGCCCACTGTAGATATCTGGGATTAGATCTTTTCATCTCAAGCCAACCTCCAATTCTAGTACTCTCATCAAGCTCTGATTCCAGCATCAGAGCCATAGATCCTGTTGAGACAATTTCTGCCATCTGTGTCCCAATGGCTGCAGATGCCTCTGAGGATGTTTCAGGAACTTGACGATGTTTCAAAATGCCTACTGGCATGGCTAGGGCTCCAAGCCTGACATTTTGAGTTGAAAATTTAGGCACTTGGTGTATGCCCAGAAGCGAGAGTTTTGTATTTCTTGGAAGTTGACAGACAAGTTGCCCAAAAGTGTTGAAACATCGCATGAATCCAACAGAACCAGGATGCATTCCTAGTCCAGTGACAAACTGAGCCAAAGAAGCAACAACATTTGTTTTTCTCACCATTACGCCAACGGCACTACCATTATGTTGATTCAACAGGGGTGGTCCCAAAGATGAATAGTTGGTAAGGGCCTTTTTCTTCTGCCAAATACATAAAACTCGTTAATCCACCAAAGAAAAAACATGAATTGTAATTTGCAAGAAAATGTAAACAAGCTCAAATGGAAAGAAAACATTGCACTACTTTTATTATGCTTGTAAGTTAATTTTGAAACAAAAAATGTGTAAACCATATTAATATAATGAATCAGTAGATCTGGTCTACCAAAAAGAAAAATCAGAGTTACAAAGAGAAAAATGAGAGAAAAAGATGCTAGATTTCCTGCAAAACCAGCATCAAATGATGTTCAAAACAGTACAAAAAAGGGTTCAGGTCTGAAAAAAATCAGGTTTTTAGTCACAGGCCAAGAGCTTTTCAAAATTAATGTAATTGTTTGGCTATGTATGCCCACGAAGTGGTTGTTTAGGTGCTGCTGACTGCTTATCAGTTTATATAACAGGGTGGTCACTGCACCATAATGATGAAAAGTTCGATTAAGGCTAGCTTTGTTTCTTGGCATGACCGAAGATATAGCGATTCCGGTTTTGACCCGACTCTTGTTGCATTCCAGACTCAAGCTTATAGTTTATGAATGTTGTTCATTGTCGTTTTTCCCCTTAATCCCCCTTAATTTTGGTTATTGGATGGTAGTTGTGTATTTGGAACAGGTTGATTGCTTGTTTTTCCAAAGCCTTGTTATCCAGATTTTTGCTCCTCCGTTCGAGCGGCCATTCTTGCGCTTGAACGGGTTTTGCAATTTTTGCTCCTCCGCTCAAGCGACACTTCTTGCGCTCGAGCGGACTTTACAAACTCTCAGTACTTTGCAGGTTTGCAAAACTACTGGGAGAGTGTTTTCTGCGCTTGAGCGGCATTTCCTACACTCAAGTTGGTGGGCGCTCGAGCGTTGGTCTGTTGTCTGCAAAACTATCGGATGTGTGTTTTCTAAGCTCGAGCGTCACTTCTTGCGCATGAGCGGTGAGTATCTTGTTCATTGTGCCTTAGTGCTCGAGCAACCTTTCTTGCGCTTTGACGGAACAACTTTTTGTGTCTAACGCTCAAGCGTCAACTCTTGCGTTTGAGCGAACTGTGCGTATATCAGATCGCGAAAATGACTTTTTACATCACTTTCTCAAATTTTTTCTCTCTAAAACCTAAAGTTGGGACCCTCTCTCTAAAACACTCACTCTCTCTACATTTTCACCTGCATTTAGGGATTTCTTCACCCTAATCCCTTTGTTAAAAAGGTAGACCATCACAAGATCTCTATTTTGATCCAAATAGAGTTGGATTTGGACATCTTTGAAGTTTCACTCTTGCTTGGCTCGTCTTCTCTTTTTGAGGTAGGGATTTTCTACACTTTCATATAGTTTTTAGCTTAGTTATTTGTCATTGTGTAACAATGGTGGGGTTTGGGAATAGTTTGAGCAAACCTAGGATTTGAGTGTGAAATAAAAAGAGGGATTTCTAAGTGAATGTGAAATAAATGGGTATAGGGTTGAATGTGAGGTTATATTGTGGCCAAATACTTGATTTGAACCATTTGGGCTGATATTTGAAAAAAGGAAAGTTTTGCCATAAATGGATCAAATTATTATTTATATAAATAATTGAAATTGACAATGGTAATGTGAAATTGGATAATTGGTGATGTAAACGGTGGAGTTGGACAAGTGTTGTCTCTCACTCATGGGAATTTGAATAATATATCTGTTGAGAAGATTGTATATCTGTTTAGAATTATCTGTATTAGGCTATCGGTGGAGGATAGCTATGATGGTTGTAGAAAATGCATGAGAATTAGATAAATTGAAACTAATCTATTGTTGATTGTCATTGAATATGACTACGCTTTAAATAGATAGTATATGTATGATGTTTAGGAGGAGAAAAATGATGTACTTCGTTGTTTGGAAGGAGATAGGGGATGGACTCCATTGAAATTAAGTTGATCGGAGTGTTCATGATGAAAGTCCTGAAATCTTGTGTATACATGAGTGCCGATCCCGCAGACAAAATTTCCATAAAATGACAAATTTGAAGTGTTTGTGTGGTAATGTAATGAATCTGTTGGATTGTTGGAAGGTAATGAAATTGACTCATGAATTGAGAAGAATAAATGAACTTGAAATGAATTGAAGGAAAATGAATTGAAATATGAACTCTGGTGCTTTACGGTTATATAAAATGTGGATATTTTGTTACTAGCATTGTATATGCACATTGTACTTATAACTTTGTTAAATTTCATAGATTGTGTTAGATGGTTTCTACTGTACTTTGGCTCACCCTATTTGGGAAAGCTATTTTCAGGTGTTGGTGACATGCCTCCGCCAAGGCAATAGCTTGGAGGGACTTTTGAGAGCAAGAGCTTCTTTATTTTGTTATATTTTTTGGTATAGCCAAGGGCTTAAATTGTATTGAGTCAAGCTCACTTTTGTGTAACCAAGTGATAGTTTGGAAAGATGTAAGTCTATAGGGCATATGCCTATTTGTTTAGTTTCAATTCTCTTATTGTTGCAACACATGTTGTAGATTCAGAATGAATATTTGTAAATGTATATAACATGTGCCAACTTTTGTAAGCGAATTCTGATGAATGAAAGTATTTTATTTCCTTTATTCTTCCGCTCATGAGTTGGATTTATTGTATTATTTTGGAGCGTTACAGGAGACATTTGGTTTTCTGTGGAAGCCTTGGCCTCAGAGTGGAGGAGGATGTTCAGGGTTGGATGAAATTCCTATTGAGTTGGATCTTATCCTCAACAAGTTCTCAAGTAAAATGCCTAAAAGCTACGCATATGTTAGTGCTATGCCCAACATAATGATAGAATTAGCAATATTTGTTTGAACCAATCAAAAGAAATCAGCCTCATGATTGACTTGATTGAAGTACAAGAGGGGTTCATTGAAGTGTGAGACAACACGAAGACTAAGGCTGAACAACTAATATCTGCATACACGATTGATTGAACACACACACACACACACACAAATAGTATCTTATAATAAAAAACCAGATAGCTTGTACCTCATAAGGAGAATTTACAGCAACTGCAACATCTCGGCAATGAGCTCCTACTGGAATTGCAACCACAGAGAACCAGTCACTAATATTTGCAGCATAAAACACTTTTGCTAGTGAAAGTGGACTACCTAAAACGTCATCCTGGCCTGTTCCATTAACCACAAACTCTGTCACTAGAGTGTCTTTTTGCCGAATGGTCGTTTCAAAAGTGAACCTTGAATGAACACCTGTCCTCATTCCGGCTCTACTTATGGCATCGCAACTCTCCTGATCAACATTATCCATCATTAACAAGGCCCCCAAGACATCAACCTCTCCCCTTACATGGGTGCTAGATTCTTGGAATGGACTTCCCTTTGAAGACTTGTAGAAGGAAAGCACTCGTTCCACCTTGTCTTGCCTGTCCCTGAGTTTCATGAGATCTGAAAATGCTTCTCGTTGCAACCGTTTCAAGATTTCAATCTGAAAATCATATCATGGGAAGAGTTGTAAAGCGCCATCATACAGCTTGTTGCTACCTACGGATGAGGATGCAGCAAATTTGTCAAACTTCACAAAAAAAAAAAAAAAAAAAAAAAAGGTGTAAACCTACTTTTAAAATCATCAACACACGTGAGCCAAAATCAAAGTTTCTATACTTCCCAAAAGAGTTCCAAATCAACATAATCTTGCAAAAATATATATATAACTCTAAGAAAATCCCTATCTCAAGTTCTTGAAGGAAAAAGAGATTAAAGCCCCAAATCCAACGGTGTCGAAACCCGATCTCCACCGAACACAACGAAGCTCTCGCTTAGCTCTCCAAAATTAGTGAAGGATGTTGGGTCAAAACTCCAATGGATTGGAAAAAATCAAGAGTTTATGGTGTTTGGTGGAGGTTTTTAGAGAGAAGGGAGAGCAAAAGATAATTTTAGAGTGAGAGAGAGATGTGTAGAAGTGATATGCACTCAGCCCAAAAAAAAAAAAAAAAAAAGCAGATTTTTGGACTCAGCTTTATCCCGCGCGTACGGCACCCATTCCCGCACGTGCGGCACCCCCATCCGCACGTGCAGCTCTCACCCCCACATGTGCGGCACTCTCTCTTGCACCTTCTTCCACTCGTGCATATAAAGCAGAATGCACCATGGACACCCCCCTCTTCTTCGCACGTGCAGCCTAAGCCCCCGCACATGCGTTTCTGCCTCCCAGCCAGAAAATTTTGCAGCTCGACCCATGACACCCCGAATCCAACCTCGCACCTTCCAAAATAAGTGAATCTCGGAATTGAAATAAATAAGAACGAGAATTTAGAGAAAAAGTTTTTAAAAAACAACGAACCCAACAGTTGACAAGACCTCACATTAAAACCTGACACTCTAATAAGAGTAAACCCAACATAACTCAAAGAGGATGAAGCAAATTACATACCCGGTCATCACAAGCAATATGGTCATTTAAAAAATTTAAGACATGACATTAGCAATTATGGAGCAATTTGTAATGAGATTACAAATCTTAAAGATTTTCAAATGTGAGGGAGGAATTTGTATTAAAATGTGTCAGTATAATTTACCATAAAACTTATAAATTTCAGTTATTAAAATCATAATGTCTTTTTACAACCACATAATTATTTTGTAGAATTACACTTGATTTATTGTAAAATTACACCTGATTTATACATAAAGAGGATAGAGTGCATATAATGTATACATTTCAATTTTTAGCTTTAAAAAATTTATTTATATACATAAAGTTTATACCAATAAAAAAACTCATATAATAGTTTTTTTGTTCTCATGCTCTTTTGTTTGGAAATGAATGAATACAATTTTATAACATCATTTTATACAAATTTTATGAAAATAATTTTATAGAACACATTTCATGTGCACAGTATGTAATATCCATATACATACAATTATTCATAAATCATTAAATCATGTGTATTGGTTTAATATGATTTTTGTAATATACATTATGATTATATAATTTTGTAGCAATAAGCATATATGCTGATTCTATAAATAACAATTTTGTTATTAAGTTGTAGCAAAATTTAAACATGTGTTTGTATGTCCAACTAATATTGCTTGGCGATCTCTCCACTATCTTCTTTTTCTTCTTTGTTTGCTTTTTTTTTTTTTTTTTTTTTTTAGATGGTTCGGAAATGAGCTGAATGCTGTTTGTTTGCCAAGAAAGTAGATTGAAGGAAAATTGGGATGCTCTACAGACGGTGAGGCCCATGGCCTGAAAATAAAATTTAACCAATTTATTTTTATTTAGAAAATTAAAATGAAATTAACTGAGTTTTACCAAAAATCTTGTGGTTTGATTTTTTATGCATTTTTAACTATCAAATGTTTTATTTTTACGATCACAATATTTCATTTTGTGTATCCTGATCATTTTAAAAAAAAAAAAAAGAGAGATTAATTTTGTAATCATATGATATATTATTTTGGGGCTGTTTGGCAAGTGAATTTTGGGCTTTTTTTTATTATTAAAATTGAAAAAAAGATAAAATAGATTAAAATAATTAATAAGATAAAATATCACATCAAATTCATAATCATTTTATTTTTTTTTTACAAACATCACATCTAAATATAAAAAAATTTAACCATCTTTTCAAATATAAAAATTTTAACCTACTAAAATATTTAAAAAAATAAAATAACCTACTAAATAGTAATTTTCCAAGCAATCACTTTATCTAAAATAAATAAACCAAAAAAATCTTCAAATCGTTATTGTTATTGAAGATCATGTATCCAATCAAATAATAATATTTTGACATTTTAAATAAAAATGAATAATATTTGAATAAAAAAGATACTCCTGAAAAAGAAACTCCTTAAAAAAAAAAAAAAAGAGATTAATTTTGTAATCATATGACATATTTTTTTGGGGCTGTTTGGCAAGTGAATTTTGGATTTTTTTTTAGGGAATTTTTTTTTAAGGTCCCTGATATTAAGAATTTATAGCATAAAGGATACTCAATATTTTCATAATGCCTAAGGTCCCTCAACATCAATCCAGAGAAAATTTGGTCCAGAGAATTTCTCTGGACTTTCCAGAGAAATTCTTTCCAGACATCCAGAGAAATTCTCTTTATCGAGAGAAAATCCAGATAGTCCAGAGAAAATTTAGACATCCAGAGAAAATTCAGATAGTTCAGAGAAAATTCACATAATCCATGAAACTCTGCATCATCGTGCATTTTATATGTTCTCTTACAAATATCTTTTCATGAAGGGTTGCTATCAAAATTCTATTTGCTAATCCTAGTGCTCTTTGTAGATCAAGTCCAACAAGATGAGGTGGTTGACAGTAAGTTCTTGCCATACCTTAGCATAGATAAGAAAGAGAAGAAGTCATTCCCTAGACTTCCAGAGAAAATTCAACTTCAAAGAGAAAATTAGTTCGAAGAATTTCTCTAGACTTTCCAATTTCTCCAACATTCCCTAGAATTCCCACTGTAAATTTCTCTGGCCTTCCATTTTCTCCAGAGAAATTTCCCTTCTCTCCAGAGAAATTGTAATGTGCTTTATCTTGTTTGAATATGCTATATTGTTGATATTGATTCAGAATTTCTACAATTGTTTGGGAAATTCCTATCATTTTCTTTGAATGAATTCAATAAATTTTTATTGTACTTATCTACAAATTTTTCAAGGTATATCTATCCTTACCTAATTCTAATGGAGAGTGGGAAATATACGGAAGGCCAGAGAAACAAATTTCTCTGGAGAGAATGGAAGACCAGAGAAATTTGCAATAGAAAGTCTAGGGAAGGTCAGAGAAATTTATAAATTTCTCTGAAAAGTCCCTACACCAATTTTCTCTGTGAAGTCGAATTTAGCAAAATCAACAATTATTACCAGCTCTACAACCTGAATTCTGTAGAATCAAATATCAATTATTGAATATAAGTAGTCTCGATAAGAAGAGTGGGAGAAACTTACTAGTTATGAGATCAAAAAAAGAGGTTCTCCCAAAATCCAAACCAAGTTGGAGGAGATTTCTATTTGCTTGTTTCAGGCCTGACAAAATGTTCCATTCCGTACATGAGTTTGTCATTGACAATGGATAAATTCTGAAATTCTACTGAAATGATAACAGTAAATCATTTTTTTACAAGAAATCAGTTGACTCATATATTTGCACATTATCACAATTCACAAACACAATAAAAAGAGTGGGATTCTACTGGAGAGAAGGGTACACATCATCAATTTCCTTCTTCCCACGTCCGACCCCTCTATATATATATATATATTTATACAATCAAAAAATATTTGCCATATTTATGATTTTAACTTTCGAAGCACTCAACAGAACTTTCAACTCCCAATCGTCGAGCTCCCAACACAACCTCTACGACGCAGCGTCGATTGGATTTTCTGAAAAGTTGTCAAGATGTTCCGATTCACCTCTTCAGTAGAAGCAATGATAGATGAGATAGGACGATTGGCTCTGTGAGTGGCTGAGGTGACTTGATGTTCCACCGGAGATACCGACGGGACGCCGCAAAGATCGTCGTTCACGATGGTGATTCCAACTACCTTCGCTGCTACTCTCATGGCTCCACCCCCTTTCCATGGTTGCGATTGATCGAAACCTAGAACAAAAAAATATATGTAACGATTTTATAATATTTCATAGAGTCAAATTTCACTGTGATATATGAATGTGGGAGTTGAAGGACCTTAGACATTATAAAATAATATTGTGGATCTCTTCTATTACTAAAAATGGGAGAGGGGGGATTTTTTTTTTAAGGTCTCTGGTATTAAGAGTTTATAGCATAAAAGACATCAAATATTTTCATAATGTCTAAGGTCCCTCACACATTAATCCAGAGAAATTTCAATCTCCAGAGAAATTCTCTCCAAATTTCTCTAGACTTAAATTTCTCTGGACTTCCCACTGTCCAGAGAAATTCTCTCCAAATTTTTCTGGACTTCGTTCCAAATTTCTCTGGACTTCTTTTCAAATTTATCTGGACTTCCCACTGTCCAGAGAAATTCTCGCCAAATTTCTCTGGACTTCTCTCCAAATTTCTCTGGACTTCCCACTGTCCAGAGAAATTCTCTCCAAATTTCTCTGGATTTCCCACTCTAATTTCTTTGGACAAAGTAAGTTCAAGTCTCATCTTAGCCTAAACTCTCTCTCACTCTCTAATATTTTTTCTTTGGATATATGGTTGCAGAAGAAGCTTCTGATTCTCCAAATTTCTCATAGCCATTATTGGTCATTCAAAATCAAAGAATTTCTCTAGTTACCTACCAGGAAATATTTCTTGATTATCTAAACTTCTTTATTATTGGTCATTCAAAATCAAACCAAACTAGAGAAATTTGGGCTACCTAGAAACAAAAAAACAATCATAGTTTTCTTTGTGTTTTGAACAAACTAGAGAAAATTGTAATTGTTTTTCTCTATGATTATTTTTCTAAGAAACATTTTATCAAACAAGTTAGTTTCAAAGC